CTCATGGTGAAGGTGGTGACAGCCAGATGTCTCCATTGTTAAGGAATATTCTCTTTCTGCGATCAGTAAATAATCTGTAATGTAATACCTTGGCACAGTGCAAATCTCCTGTTTCCCAACAGCCTTTCACCCAGTTGGATCCTTTTTCAAATCTGAGTGGTGAATTTTGTGATCTCTTGCTCTCCACTTGTGATTTTAGTCCCCTCTTTCTATTTCTTCAGAGCCTTAAACATCTTTATTCTATATGCCTGGATGCTTTGTGCTCTAGGGGTCTAGTTCTGCCTTTTGTTGTTTCTCATGGCTCTCACTCATGGTGCTGTGTTTCCTTTTTCTTTTCTATGAGTTCTGACTGCTTGCATTTCATAGGACTTTATCAGTGAATTGATTCAGGCCTGTGTTGAAGGTGGTCTTCTTTTTTTTTTTTTTTTTAAGATTTTATTTATTTATTTGACAGGGAGAGAGAGAGGGAGAGATCACAAGTAGGCAGAGAGGCAGGCAGAGAGAGGAGGAAGCAGGCTTCACTGCTGAGCAGAGAGCCTGATGTGGGGCTTGATCCCAGGACCCTGAGATCATGACCTGAGCTGAAGGCAGAGGCTTAACCCACTGAGCCACCCAGGTGCCCCAAGGTGGTCTTCTTCTGAGAGACATTCACAGATTGAAGTTTTGGAGACCTCCTGAGGTGGTGTAAATTAGGACTAAAGCATCATTCTGGCACCTCTGGTGTAGGTCTACTTCTGGTTCAGTTTAACACTGAGCATTTAGTCCTGTGGGGTCTCATCTTTATGGAGATGTTCCTAGGAGATTGTCCACTTTGGGAAGGCCCTAAGCTTTGTCTTCATGGACTTGGAGGCCTTGCCTTAGAACCGGAATTCTAGATCACTAATGTAGCAAATGCCCTCAGGGCAGGTGCCAATTGGGGGGGGGCTCCATAGACCTTACTATGTTTGACTTCTGCTTACTTAGTGTTTGGCCTTTGAAGGTTCTAAACTTATTATTTTTTTTTTTTTTGGATAGCTTAGTGATGTACTGAAGAGTTTGGTTTTTTAAATTTTATTTTATTTAAGATTTTATTTATTTATTTGACAGAGATCACAAGTAGGCAGAGAGGCAGGCAGAGGGGGTGGGGAAGCAGGCTCCCCGCTGAGCAGAGAGCCCAATGCGGGGCTCCATCCCAGGACCCTGAGATCATGACCTGAGCCGAAGGCAGAGGCTTTAACCCACTGAGCCAACCAGGCGCCCTGAGTTTGGGTTTTTATTTTAGTTGTTTTGTGGGCATCTATCCTGTCACAGAGTGGTCCCTCCCTAGTTTCTGCTGGTTATGGAATTCTTAGGTGCCTTGTGGGGCTTCTGGAAGCCATTCTGTGCTCTCCTGTGGCCCACTTATGGAGGGCTTGGGATGGGGGGTGCTGTTTGAGGTACTCGCAGCATCCCACGTGGCTTGTCCTTGCTCTCCCAGGCATAGGCAGTCAGTGAGGCAAGATCTGGTGGGCTGGAGTCAGCAGGGATAGTGCTTGGTTGACTCTGGTGGTGGCTTCCCTGCTTTGGCTCACTTCTCACTTCTTGCTCCTTATTGATTCCAAGCTTCTTCAAGGACCAGCGGTCCTGTTGCAGTAAAAGGAAAGGGTTCTGTGACCGAGGGCACGGTGGGGTGCTCAGGGCTGACTCAGGGATCAGGCTGTGATCTTTGGGTACCATCTTCTCCCTTGGCCCTCCCTGCCTCCTCTGCATTTGCCAGTCTCTGGTTGTTTGCTTGCCTTCCTCATGAGGGGCACGCTTGGGTCCCATGGCTGCTGTGCCTGCCTGAGGCATGCATGGCTTGGTGGGAGGGTGAGTGCCGGGTGTAGCCTGGTCCCAGCCACCTATGCCTTTCCCCATGGGACCCTGTCTGCCTGCTGCTCCTCATGCCAGGAGGAAGTCTCCATCCGGGGCCCTTCTCTGTGGGGCTAACCCTGAGGCCTGCCAGGCTGCTGCTTCTGAGGTGGGACGCAGGGGGGCACTGTCATCCTCCATCCATGGGCCCAGGGCCTGAGGGGCTTCGGGGTTCGCAGCATCGGTTGGAAAGGCTGTCAGAGTTGCGCAAATTTTGTCAGGTTGTCTTTCTTTTTAGTTTTGAAAAGAATGTGTCACTCTTTGACATCTCGAAGAACAGGCAGAATCCAAAGTTGTGCTCGGTGGATTAAGTTTCATGTTCCTTTGCCCTCTGGGAGGAAAAGACGAGTGACAGAACAGGGGAATGAGGCAGTGGCGGGTGGCTCGTACCGTGCACCGGTGTTGCACAAGGGGCTGCGGCCTCCGCTCCAGGAGGCTCACTGCCAGGGGAGATAGGATAACGCGATTATTCTCAATTAGATTAATAAAGAATAATTAGATGTCATAAATCAAGTAATCATAGGATATTGTCATGGGAAAAATATGTAGCTAGAATTAATTAGTTTTCAAATAAAGCGTTTATTTTAATTGCTTGAAATGATGGAGCCCTTAATTGCTGATGCATCATTTTGGCCTGAACAGTTTGGTTGTTGTAACAACGTGACGGGTTTGTTCCCCGCAGTTCTGGGGAAACAATAGAGGAGAACTTGATTTCATCACCTCAGACGGAGCCTTGTGCTGGTGAGGTTCTGGAAACTCCCATCAGGCCGCAGGCAGGTGGCAAGTGTGGGCTGCGCTTTGGCTGGCGCCGCCCAAGGCCCCTGTGCTGCCTGTGCGTGTGTGTGAGTGTGTGCAGGCATGTGCGTGCGTGTGTACACATGTGAGTGTGTGCCCTCTGTCCGTGTGCACATACGTGTGCATGAATGCCGTGTGTGTGCGTGTAGTGTTTCCTGGCAGCTCACCTGTCCCAGGCCACAGAGCAGGGGCCATGGGTCATGGAGCAATGTGGGGTCAGGTCTCTGCCCACAGGAGGCCGTCCTTGTGTTTGGGAAGAGTCAGTTAGTTTTTAGCTAAAGCTGAGAGAGGCGTTCAGAGCAAAAACCCTAAAAAAGAAAGAAACAAACAGGGACTTGGCCATTTTGTAAGGTCCATTCTCAGGGATCCCTTCCTTCTCTTTGACAGAGGCGGGATCAAGCATAGGAGCGGCTGCCTATGGTCTCTCCCCAGTAAGGGTGAGCATCTGCCCCTTCCTGTCCCCAGCCCTGCCATGTCTGCTTTTAGTCATTAGGATCAGCCCCAGCCCTACTTCCAGCCCTCATGTGGACCAGGCCTCAGCTGGCCTGGTGCTGGCATTGGCTTTCCACCGGGTCTCTGCAGCGTTTCCCTGGCTCCAGTGGTCTCCGAAGTCTCAGGTCACTACCTGCCCCTCCCCATTCCCCTTCTGTCTGGTGACTCAGAGCCCCCTGGCCTCCAAGGCCCCCGCTGCCTTGACAGTGGCATTTCTCAGGTGTTTGAACCTTGCACTCTAGTGAAGCAACCCCGGGCTCTATTCTGGAGAGAGAGAGAGAGAAGGAAAGGGTCTGGGATGGTTTCAACGAGGGGAGGTACAGGGCTTCCCAGTGAGGGTGTTGCTGAGTGGTGCCTGGACCAGTCTCCAGCTGGAGAAACTCACGCCCCTCCTTCCTCTGCGACTGCATGTTCGCCTGTCCTCTGGCTCAGCCCCCATCCCATGTGAGCCTCTGTCTTTGGCCTGGAACCCCCTCCAGCCTCTGGCATTGGCAAAGGCTCCCTCCTGGAGGAATGCTATCTTCTCTGCTCCTGTTCTTTGCCCTGCCCAGTTCCCGTGGTGGCTGTGGCTCCCTCAGTGGCCAGGTAGCCTCCTCCCTGGTCTGTGTCCAGGCTGGAGAGGGACAGGTGGGGAAGCGTTTCAGATCCCAGCAGAGGCCCCCTGATGAAGTTGCTGCAGCCTCCCAGCAGTCTGCTCCTGGCTTTTCCCTCTGTACCCTCAGCCTGGCCTGGGACCTGCAGGCTGACAGATGTGCCCCTTGGTCATTGGAGCAGGTCACTTCTGGTCCAGCAACCCCCCCTGCACCATTGCTGGGGTGGGTTCAGTGGTGACCCTGGGAGGCTTTCTCCTTTCAGGAGGGTGGGCCCCATGGGACCAGTGATTTGAGGAAGGGTCACTTATCTGTCATATCAGTCCTCCTGGGGAGTGACATGGTAACTCAGTCCCTACCCCTTCCCCACACACCAGTGCACTGGCCGCTCTGCCTCTTGGTGGCAGCGTGCAGACTTCAGGCCTGAATCTGAGGGGCCTGGGGTAGCTCACCAGACCATTCCCTGCCTCCTTTTCTCCAGCAGTGAATGTGGTGCTGCCTTCTCTGAGGGCGGACATATAGGCCCTCAGGACCCAGCAGGCAGGGTCTGCAGCACATGTGAGAGAGAGTCCTCTCTATCTTTGGGTCCTGCTCACTCCCCCAGCCACTAGGGCCCCCACACACCTCTTGTCTGTCCCTCGGTTCATCCCTGCAATATGCACGTGCTGAGGAGCTGCTGTGTGCCTGATGCCGGTGGTCAGGCCTGTGGTCTGGGGGGAGCAGGCCAGTGTGGCCCCTGTTCCCTGAGCTTGCTGTGGAGCCAGAGTGGACAGCATGTCCAGCCATGTCATTGCTCCACTGTAGGGAGGAGAGGAGAGGGGCCTCATGAGGGAGGAGGGAGGCTGAATTTGCAGTACTCAGCCAGGCTCAGAGGCAGGACAGACACCCCCAGGCGTGTGGACAGCCCAGGAGTGGAGAAGCCAGCCTGAGGGAGGAGGAGCCACTCCTCCCGCTGCTGTGGCCAGTGGGATTCAGGGAGTCAGAGGGTATAGGGTGAGTGAACAGCAGGCCTTGGAGGCCAGAGGCAGACTCTATGCGGGGTGCTGAGGGTGAGAGTGACCTCAGAAGGGTGCGGGCGCCACTGTGCCCCCCCAGAGATGGTGCAGGTTGGGGCCACAGTGATGCCATTTGGGTGTAGAGGCCAATAGGTGGGAGGGAAGACAGGCTGAAGGGGCTGGGCAGCATCCAGGGAGGCTCCTACTGCCTTCCTGAAGGACAACAGGTGGGTCACTTATGCCTTTCCTTGGTCCCCAGGTGCCTGCACCCCCAGCCAGTATGGCAGCCAACCCACTCCCACCGCCGGACCCCCAGTTTGTCCTCCGCGGTACCCAGTCGGCGGTGCATGCACTGCATTTCTTCAGAGGAGCCCAAGGACAGGGGCGCCCACTCCTCCTCTCAGGGTGAGTAGCTCGGGCCCCAACCCAACCCCAGGGGTTAGCCCATGGTGAATTTAGGGGCAGTGAGCTACCGGTGAGCCAAGGGCTCATTTGGGGATCTCAGTGACAGGCTCAGGCTGCCCATCCCTCGGGCACATGGACTTTTCAGAACCCACCGACAAGCCGTCCCTCGGGCCTGGCCCCCTTGGAGGAGGCAGGGAGCACACCCTCTCTCACAGACACCACACAGTTTACAGTGTCAGCTGTAGCCCCCTATGCCTCTCCAGAGGAGTGGACTCTGCCTCGGGTGCCCTCTGAGGCTCCTGAGGGCTCTCTGCCTGCCATCCCTGGTAAAGGACCACTGTGCCACTTTTACCCTTAGTTCACACGTCCAGCTGTCCTCTAAACTGAAAGCTCCGACTGAAATGCCTGGTTCACCAGCTGGGTGGTTTCTCCGCCAGCCCCGCAGAGTATGCTGGGACTGTCCTCCGATCCCTCTCCCTGAGCCTGTGCTTTTGCGCTTGTCACAACAGGTCCCTGAGCGGGCTGGTGCACATCTGGAGCCTACAGACGCGGAGGACAGTTGCAACCCTGGATGGCCACGGGGGCCAGTGTGTGACCTGGCTGCAGACATTGCCCCAAGGGCACCAGCTGCTCAGGTGGGTCTTGATGGCAGCGAGTACAGTCCCAAAAGAGTCAAGCTGTGGCCCTCAGCAGGGGCCATGAACTTGCCACTGGATGCTCTCGGGTCTCCCCCAGCTGCCAGGGCAGCCCCTCCCCATGGCAGAGCAGTGTGATCTCTGCCCTTGGCCCATCCGGAGACAGTGTCCAGATCCACTGGGTGCCCGTCACTGCGGTCTTTGTGACCACTGCTCTGTCCAGGCAGGTGCCTACTGAGATGAGCCTGATGGATGCACAAAACAACTCTGTAGTGGCCTGAGCAGAGGCCTCCTGGTCTGCCAGGGGTGTCCAGTGGCAAGAGCTAGGGGTCCATGGCTGAGCTCCAGGGTTCTTCTTAGAGGAGCCTCAGCTTCCTTCCTGTGTACCCCAGGGCTCTGGTGTCACCACACCTCCTCTGATGAGCGGTCCCATTTCCACACAGTGGTGTAGAACTTGTGTCTAAAGCCACCCACTGATTGGGGTTGTGCTCCAAACCCTGAGAGCAGCCACCCTCTCTGGGCACTGGGAGTGCCACAGGGGCGCCCAGGTCCATGGCATTTGGGCTCACTGGTGACAAGGAGAGCAGGGTGGGCATGTGGCACTCCTGACAGAGGAAGTTGTGTGGTGGGCCCAGCTGTGAGCATCTGGAGACCAGGCAGCAGAGCCCAGAGGGTCTGTGTTCTGGCACTGCCACCACGGCCTTGAAGAGGTGCCAGGCTGGAGACTCAGGTGAGAGGTGGGCCAGGAGGCAGCAGGAAGGGGCTGGTGGGGGAGAGAATGAGCTTATGTCTAAGTTTAAGTGAAACTTTCCTGAATGCCCTCCAGGGCAGGTCTGCCTTCCTGTGTGGACTCGGATCCTGGGCATCTAGGCACCACGGTTCCCAGTCCCCAGAGGACAAGGCCTGTCAGGGACACACCCTTTTGCAAAGCACTTTTGTGCCAGACATGCTGCTGCTACACCCCTGAAGGTGGCTCGCAGGTGATCAAAGAACCAGAGGCATCCAGGAGGCTGGTGGCCTTGGACGCTTGTGCCTGCAGAGCCACACGCTGGTCCCCTTCGCCCCCGGTTGGTGTGGCAGGCCCTCCGTATGGTTGTGGACTTTCCCTGATGCTTAGAATAGACACTGCGTCCGAATACCACACTGAACCGCTTGAGCTGGATGCTGCTGCTTGTAAACATTCCTCCTGTGTTTTCAGCCAAGGCCTAGGAACCTTGGCGCCTCCTGCTCCTCCAGGGCCCAGATGCCTTGGGCTGTTCTCAGGGAACCCCCAGCCCTGGGGTCTGCCCCTCAGAAAGCTGGCCTGAGGGGCGCCTGGGTGGCTCAGTGGGTTAAAGCCTCTGCCTTCGGCTCAGGTCGTGATCTCAGGGTCCTGGGATGGAGCCCTGCATTGGGCTGTCTGCTCTGCAGGGAGCCTGCTTCCCCCTCTCTCTCTACCTGCCTCTGCCTAGTTGTGATCTCTCTGTCAAATAAATAAATAAAATCTTTAAAAAAAGAAAGAAAGAAAGAAAGAAAGCTGGCCTGACATTGTATGGGGAGGCAAGCGGCAAGGGCAGCCTGTGAGTGAATGTTGGATGGTCGATCCTTCCTCTTTCCAAGCTGGACGGCACCGCGGTAGCCATGCTCCAGGCAGGGGCCCGTGGATCGGGAGGTCTGCAGCGCAGACCATGCACGTTCTTGGAATGCCCAGGTGCGTTTACGTTGCACTAGAGGCTGGGCGCCCAGCTGTGTTTGGAAGCCAAGTCTCTCCAAAGTGGCTCTTGAGAAAGGAAGGTACGCTTTCATGTCAAGGGGAGGCTGGAGGACAGAAAGCTGGGGGCCCGAGGGCACACCTGTGCCCAGTTACAGCCACCTGGGTGGGTTTGTTTCCTACCTCTTCTATAGCGACCACAGCACCCTTGCAGAAAAGTGCACAGAACAAGTTTGCAGACTGTTGTACTATCACGGAGTGGACACCTGGGTAACCACTGAAGTCAGAGGCAGAGCCCTGACGCTGGCTCCATTCTCGTCCTCAGGAGGCAGCCCCCTGGCCCCTTGTTCTTGCCTTACCATTTGGAACATGGATCTCCAAAAAGCATAGACTTGTTAGGTCTGTTTTTTTTTTTTTCTTACAAAAATGGCACCATGCAGAACAGCTTCCTTTGTATGGGACTGCTTCCGCTCAGCTCTACTTTGTGAGCTCCACGGTGGATGCGTGTAGCTGTAGGGCACTGTGTGGGATTTTCCTGTGCGGTGTTCCACTGGATGTGTGTGAATGCTCATTCTACTGTCAGTGGAGATCTGGGTCATCCACTTGGGGCTGAGAAGCTTAAGGATTAAGACCCCAGTCTGGGTCTCCGGGCGCCCGGTGCATGCGTGTCTGCGGATTGGACCCTGGACCCAGAGGTGGGCCATCGGCCACAGGGTATGCACGTGGCTGGGTGGCTCAGAAAGTGCCAGGCTTCCCCCTGTGCAAGCGCCCCCACCCCCGCGCTGCTTTCTGGGTACAGCCTGATTTGCATTTTCCTGACCACTTAATGAGCCAGCCCTCTTCTGCAGTCGTTAGCCACTGGGATAGAGTCTCCCTTCAATCCCTATTTCTCTAGCAGACTGACTACCTTTTTCTCATTGAGTTACAGGAGTTTTTTTTATATTCTAGATGTGGCTGATATTTATATCACCAGGTGCTGCTCCCACAAAGTGACTACAGTTCTCACTCTATGATGTGTCAATGAGTGGAAGTTAGCCATTTAAATGGGGTCAGAGCTGCATCTTTCCCTTATGGCTGGTGCTTCTGTGTCATGTGAAGAAGTTCTAGCAACAGGTCGTGAAGAGCTGATTTCTCAGGAGCTTCCCTCCTGTTCCTTTTTGGCCCACACTGCAGCTGGAATTGGCTGTTGGTGAGGTGTGCGTTCTTTGTTTCTATATGGATAGCCAGTGGTTCCATCCTCCCTTCCCTCATTTCCCCTCCAAGTTCAGGGACACGGGCGGCTGAGGAAGTGGATGGTGCGGGGTGGCTTCCAGGCAGAGGTGTGAGAGCAGCGTGCCCAGTGGGCAGAGAACCAGGGTGATGGGGGCAAGGTCTCAGAGGTGGCTGGGGAGGTTGGGAGATTGGCTGCATCATGCAACCAAGTTTGTCAGTGGAGGGTGGCAGTGAATATCTTGAGGAAAATGGGAGGCAGCTCTCTCCCAGTCAGAGAATGGAGTCACACACCTGAGGAGGAGGAAGGGGAGGAAGAAGCCTTGGGGCATCAGCATGAACTTGTGAAGTTTTGAAAGTATATACCCAAAGATAGGTACAGAAATACTTGTGTGTGTGAGTGTGTTTGCCTGTGTGTGTGTGAGGGGTGTGTATGTATGAGCTATGTTTCCATGTGTGAGTGAGGTGTGTGTGTGAAGTATGTCTGTGAGTGTGAATGTGTGCATGAGGTGTGCTTGTGTGTGTTTGAGGTATGTTTGTGTGTGACTGTGTGTGTGAGGTGTGTTTGCATGTGTGTTTGCGTGTGTGTGTGAGGTGTGTTTGCATGTGTGTTTACGTGTGTGTGTGAGGTGTGTTTGCATGTGTGTTTGCGTGTGTGGGTGAGGGGGGTATGTGAGGTGTGTTTGCGTGTGTGAGCGTTTGCGTGTGTGAGAGGTGGGTGTGTGTGTGACTGTGTGTGTATTTCCTGGCTCTGCTGAGAGGGCCTGGCGGCAGCGGCACCCCACAGCAATAACCACACCAGCGCCCAGACCTTGGTTTGCAAATATCTCTCTGCACTGGAGGGAACAAGGATTCCTTGGAGAAATGATTCTGGGTCTGGAATATCTTGCTGATGGACACGTGTCAGAAGGACTCTGAGCCAGCTCAAAGGGGGTCCCGCTGGCCAATCTGGGATGGTTTGAGCACAAAAATAAATAATGGGAAGTGTAGATGACAGCCCACTGAGTAATACAGGAACACGCAAATCCAAGCTGATGGAAACAGAGAGAACAGAAGGCGAGGGGGAACACCCATTCTTCCTGTAGGATAGCGTCTCGTAAATGGAGGAGGTGGTGGGCGTGGGAGTCCCATTCCGGTCTGATGTCTCTGTAAAAGTATTTGCTTTTAACTCGAGTGAACACACTTTTCCAGAACTCCACAGATTGGCTATCTGCCCTCCTCCTGGGTACAGTGTGCAAGACATTTTTCTGTCTGCAGTCCATCTTGGGAGCCCAGCACCCTGATTGTTTCCTTAACTTATACACACTAAAGTTTGCTCTTTGTGGCTTGTTCTGTGGGCTTGATGATGGCCACCATCACGGTGGTGCGCCCCCCCCCCACTCCCGCCCCGGGCCACATAGGGCTGTCAGCACCCTGCAGAGCCTCTGTGCTGCCCCCTGTAGACGGGAGCCCCAGTCCCCCACCTGCCGTCATGCTGTCCCAGAAAGTGCCAGCAGGGGAATCATGCTGTAGGTGGCCTTTTGGCTCATAGCAGAAGGCATCCGATATTCCTATGGGTTGTAGCACGTGTCACAGTTTGTCCCTGTTTGTCACTGAGTGGAATTCAGTGATGTGGAGGCACATGGTTGGTTCCCCAGCCTCATACTGAAGAGTCGCGTTTAGTTTGGGCAGTTAGGAACAGAGCTGCTGTTTGTGTACAGGCTTTTGTGTGAATAATTAAATTCATTTGGGAAAACTCGTGAGGGAGGGATTGCTGGGCCATCACAGTTAATTCACAGAGGGAGGGAGGAGGGTGAACTCACACTTTGGCAGCACGGGGAATGGCAGGAAGAGCCCGGGAGGCTGGTCATGGGGCATGTGTCGCAAAGCTCACTGGCACATGGTTGATGGTGCCCCTGTGGGATGGCCCATGAAGGTGTCAGGCCTCAGGCATCCTGGATACAAAGCCCTTCCTTGGCTGAGGTGTCCTCAGCCAGGTAATGCATACCATCTGGGCCCCTCTCTGGAAGGTGTCCCCTGCCTTTCTTCAGCATCAGGCTGGCCCCAGCGTGCTGGTATTGGTCCAGGTGGGATACCCGGTCTGCTCACCTTGGAGGCTCATGGCCTCTCTCTTGGTTTGGCAGTCAGGGCCGGGACCTGAAGCTGCGCCTGTGGGACCTGGCAGAGGGCAGGAACACCATCGTGGACTCTGTGGCCCTGGAGAGCATGGGCTTCTGCAGGAGCTCCGTCCTCGCTGGGGCTCAGGAGCGCTGGATGCTGGCTGTGCCGGGGAGAGGTAGTGACGAGGTGAGTGCCAGCCTGCCTGGTGCTTGGCTTCACGAGCTGCTTGCACTTGGTTCCCCATCCTGAACACCTATTAGGGGATTGCTGTGCCTGCCCCAGGAGCCCCATGGAGTGCCGACTGCAACTCCAGGGGCCTTGGTCTGGCTGCTGCCCCAGTACCCAGTACTGCACGGCATGGGGCTTGAGACCATCAGGAGTGCAGGGGCAGAGACTGCCTGGAGAGGTCCTCAAAGGACTTAGGAGCAGGCATGCATGGTGGGGAGTCTCGGGCAGGCCAGCAGGAGATGGTGGGAGAGAAATCGTGGCCTTCTGATAGTCTGGGCATCAGGGGCAGCCTTTTGGGTTGCTGAACTGAGTTCTGGCATGAGAGGCCTTGATCCAGACCTGGAATGCTGAGGATTGGGGGAAGCTGGCACTAGGGTAGTAATTGCAGAACAGAGGGTGCAAGTGAGAGGGGAACTCAGAGAACGGGGCTCCAGGTGGGCGTGGTGGAGCCTCGGAGGTGACTGTCAGATGGAGCTCAGGCCAAGTGGCCAGCAGTGGTTGGTGATGGAGATCTGGTCAGTTTGGGCAGCGTGTCCACACCCCCAGAGGCAGAAGAGGCAGAGTCCGCCAAGGGGAACAGGTGGTGGGAAGCGAGGGTGGAGGGTAAGGTGGAGGATGAGGGTGTGGCTGGAGGGGCCAGCACTTGGGGAGCTGAAGGGAAATTGAAGAAGAAACCCAGGAAAAGCAATCGGACAGGCCTGTTGAGTGTTGGGGGCATAGGCGCTCAGGGTCTGGGCCGAGTGTGGGGCGCCAGGGGCTCTGAGCGTGGGGCAGGGAGGGCCTGGGGGTGCACACATGCAGGGAGAGGGAGCCTCCTGTCTGCCACCCACGGCCATGTCTCCCTGTGTTCCCTGCCGGCCCCAAGGGGCTGTGCGGCAGGCGGCGCTGGGCAAGGACACGGGGCCCCATGCCCACAGCAGCGAGGTTTGGCCCCTACCCAAGAAGACTCGTTTATCTTAAAGCAGATTCCGTTCATAAATAATGAGAAAGGAACAGGCATTTATTTGTTCATGATTGAGCTTAAATCGCCAATTAGGAGCTACATACACTTTTCTTGCCAATTTGCCAAAAACCTGTTAAAAGTTTTATGAATGTGAAAAGAGAGGGGTGTGCTTCCTCCCGGACAGCCGGGGCCAGGCAGTTCCAAGCCTCGCTTCTGTGCTGCACGCTGTAGAGCCCAGCCCTCTCCACTGAGGCGGGGATGCCCCGTGCTGCCCTCTGCTTCTCAGCCTCTCTGGGCCTTCCTGGCTGCGCATCCCACCCCCGGGGTCTGGCCCCTGATACCCAGAATGTGCTGTTCCAGGTTGTTTTTAACTGGCTTGCTGGATCCCTCGTTGCCAGTGCGGGCGGCACCTGTGGTTTTCAGGAGCAGCCAGTCCAAGGACCTCAGATATCCTGGGAAAATGATTGTTTTCCACGTTCCCACCTGGAATCTGCCTGGATGGAATCTGCTTGGAAAGGCATTGCTGGCCTATGCCCAGACAATGCCCAGGGAGGACATGCTGCCACCCTGCTCGGCCGTCTGGGTGGCCACGCTTGCCCAAACCAAACATTTTACCTTCTGGAAACTAAGGTTGCAGTTGAGTGCCAGATGGAAAGTACACTGGTATCTGGAGGAGGCTCCGAGCGCAGGCATCCAGGCCCTTGCCAGAGCCCAGAGCCCTTTGTCGGACTCACAACGGCCCCTGGGCTTGCCCTGGTCCTTGGGCCCTGGGCTCCTTGCTCTCCTACACCCAGGATGTGGCTGTGGGTACTGCCACTCACTCTTCCTCCCATAGTGTCTTGCTCAGGCTTTGGGGCTATCCTGGTTTTCCCCCTCTCCTCCCCGAGCTGACTTGCAGGGTGACTCACCCCTACCTGAGTCCCTTGCCTTCACACCCCTCCTCACTGCCACAGAGGGATCTTCCTGGGCCCACAGATTGGGAGAGGCCATCCCTCACCATACCTGTGTGCCCTTGTACCAGGCCATCCAGGGTGTGGGCCCATGCAGACTGTGTGTCCAGGGACTTCTGTTTCTTCTTGCATCCGTCTCCTCATGAGCACATGTAAGCAATCAGGGTCTTCTCCTCCCAGGTCCCAACTACCCAGTCAGTATCTTTTTTTTTTAATATACTTAAAATTTTTTTTTTTTTTTAGTGGGAGGAGGGGTAGAGGGAAAGAAAGAGAATCTTTTTATTTTTTTAATTTTTTTAAAAGATTTTATTTATTTATTTGAGAGAGAGAGCATGAGTCGTGGGCAGAGGCAGAGGGAGAGAGAGAAGCAGGCTGTCCACTGAGCAGGGAGCCCCATGTGGGACTCAATCCCAGGACCCCGAGATCCTGATCCAAGCCAAAGGCAGACGCTTAACAAACTGAGCCACCCAGGCACCCATATTTCTTTAAAATTTTTTTAAAGGATTTTATTTATTCACTGATAGAAAGACCGCACAAGCAAGGAGAGCAGCAGGCAGAGGGAGAAGGAGAAGCAGGCTGTCATCTGAGCAGGGAGCCCGATGTGGGACTTGATCTCAGGACCCTGGGATGATGACCTGAGCTGAAGGCAGATGCTTAACTGGCTCTGAGAGAGAGAATCTTAAGGAGGCTCCACATTCAGCAGGGAGCTTGCTTCTCCCTCTCCCTCTGCCCTCACACTGCTAGCAGCTTTGCTAGTCGGTGTCCCGACCCAGAGGAGCAGTTCTTTCTCTGTTCTATGGAGCATCTGGCCTCCCAGGTGAGCGCGCCCTGGCTGGGGCCCACAGGCTTCCCACAATGTCTACAGCCGATTCTCAAACAGTAAGCCTGAAATTGAGTCGCTGGTACTCACTGCCAAGGACACAGAGGCTCCGAAAGCCCCCTCCCCTTCTCCTGGGTTTTCACCTGGCTTCTGGTTCCGCTGTGTCTTGGTTGCCACGTGACTTTTCTTGCATGTCTTTTTATTTTGCTAGAGCTCCTCCTTGAGCCATCTTTGCTGTTCCAGGGGCTCCTTCTAGCAGCCTCTTACTTGACGACAGTAACAACCGCTCACATCACTGAGGGTCTTTTCTGTCTCTTTCGTGGGCAGTGAGGGCTGCGCGGGCTGGTATGGACACTGATCCTGCAGGCCCCGCAGACGCTGGGGGAGCCTGTATGTGTGTGCGTACATAGGTGTGTGCCTCTTTGTGGGGACGTGTTCGTACTCTGCAGCGAGCCCCTCCCCGAGGACACTACGTGGGCCTCTGGGAAGAGCCCTGCCAAGAAGGTCTCCACAGCCTCAGCCTGTGGGTGTGCCACCCCCATGCAGGCCTGCAGCTGGGAGGCCCGGGCCACCATGCCACTGGCTTTCTACCCTGCCTGCAGGGTGCCCTCGGACAGACCCAGCGTGCAGGTAGCAGATCGTGAGAGGACTCAGCACTTAATCTCAGGCCTTGGGCTGGTTCTCCCCTGTGGGTTAGTGAGAGTAGCCCAGCTCACACCCACCTGCCTCCAGTTCACTGGGTGACTGAGACAGCAGGCCAGCTGTCCCTTCAACGCCCACCGCCCCTGCCCCAGACTCTTCATCTGCACACCAGAAGATGTCCTCTTGTTGGCGAGGGACGATGTAGCTTCATAGTGGCTGCACACTGTCAGCACAGCCCCTCTCACTGGCATCAAGGGGGCCCGAGGGCTGTCGAGCCTCCCCATCATGGAGTGGCAGGCCTGCTTCACATGGAATCCCCTCTACCTCCAAGGACCACAGGAGGGGGCGCCCTTGTCCCTTTTTGCTGGAGATGAGGCAGTAGGGATGCAGATGGGGTGGGGGGGACAGTTTCTGGGCGACAGTGCTCTAGTGCCCAAGCCTGCTCCTTGTGGCTGCAGCTATCCCCTGCAGATGGTGTGGGGCAGAGCTTGGCCCAGCTCAGATGGACAGGCCTGAATGTGACCTGGCTGTGTGGACCAGAAAGGCCCATCTTCCAGCCCGGGCGCAGGAGGGCCTGCCCCTGCATTCAGGTGACACAAAACACCACTGTGATACCCAGTATAGAGGTGCAGGGTGTCGGGACCAGCCAGGCCCCAAACACAGTTCCCCTTGGTGCACACCATGTTCATTTCCTAGACTTGCTGGTGATCCCCAAGGGTCCCTTGTGCATTTTTTTTCTTTTCTTTTCTTTCTTTTTCTTTTTTTTTTTTTTTAAGATTATTCATTCATTTGTCAGTGAGAGAGAGAAAGAGCACATCAGGGGGAGTGGCAGGCAGAGGGAGAGGGAGAAGCAGGCTCCCTGCTGAGCAGGGATTCCTGATGTGGGACTCGATCTCAGGACCCTGGAATCATGACCTGAGCTGAAGGCAGAGGCCTATATAACCGACTGAGCCACCATGGTGCCCACCCCCACGTGCACTTCTGTAAACCATCTGATGCACCTGAGATAGTTCAGAGTTGTTCACATGAAAGCCCACATCAGGAAAGAGAAGGAGGCAGAGATCGGGAGGATGGGTAAACTGAGTCAGTGCCCAGCAAGCCCCCTGCTCAGTGAAGAGGTAAAATCAGGAAAGGCCAGAGGTGGTGATGCTGGTGAGAGGGACATGCCGGTCACTCAGGAATGACGTGAGTTTCACAACGCCCAGCAGCGCCTGAACCCACGAGCCTGTGCGGCCTAATTAGGAGGCTCGGCTCCCAGGTTCCTCTGGGGAGCAGACAGAAACTCGCAGCAGCCTTGGCTAATCGCCTTAAAAGTCTCTTGTTTGTATAGCACAGGCTCGACTTGGCGCCTGCCCAAATCAACTTGTTTTCTTACTGTCAGGTTCAGATTCTGGAGATGCCATCCAAGACGTCAGTGTGCACCCTGAAGCCGAAGGCCGATGCCAAGCCAGGCATGCCCATGTGCCTGGAGCTGTGGCAGGTAAGGCCCAGCGCACGCCAACCACGCCCTGCCAGTCACGCCTTCCAGGTCGTGAATCATGCCCCATTCAGGATTTGGTTTATCGTCAAACCACGAGCCCCCTGGGAGCCTGTATGCATGCTGCCTTCTGCAGCCTCAGTGTCCCCCCGGGGCCTCCTGCTGCCCCCCTGCCGCTGCTGCTTGTCCTACAAACTGCCCTGGGGCAGGCCTGGCTTATGCTGTCCTCTGCAGGGTGGCCCCCCCCCCGCCCCCTGCACCAGCCCGGGCAGTGAGGAGGGACAGCTGGGTCAGCAGAGCAGCCCCCTCCTGCAGAGGGCCACGAACTCCGCTCCTCTTTGCACGCCCACGTGCAGCCCTGTACAGGGCTAGGAGGGAAGTGCTGACTAACCCTGCAAGTCCGCTCGGCCCCTGCTTGGCTGGGGATTACCTTCTGTGACTTTTTTGCCTCCAAGGCAGGAGTGGGCTTAACATGCTGACTTTCCCTGCGGCCACACTTGGCATTTCTGATTTACAGCCATTTCCTTCTTTCTAGTCTATTCTTTCTGCTTAGAGAGGGTCAGAAGACATCTCCTGGGGCTGGCAGCTGAAGCCTAGGACCAGGGAGTGGGTCACACTCCAGAGTCCTGGCAGCATGGATTTTGGCTCCAAGGCAAAGAGTGAGGTCTTGGGAGGGATCCTCCTGGGCCCGCCCACTTGCCTCTACTAGAAGTCCCATCCCTCCACAGGGCACAGCCTCCTCCTGGCCACACGGGACAGCACTGGCTCAAAGTGTACTACTGTTCTGCTTCTCAGGGCTGCTGCTGTTTGGGGCAACAGAGCTGATGATCTGGTGTGTTCACCTGGTAAGAATGCCAGGTAGCATCTTTGCTGTGACAGAGACCGTGGTAGATAGGTCCTTGACCGGTGCCTGCCTTGGAAAGCACGGCTTATAGCCATTTTCGCAGCTCTCTTCAGTTCACCAGCACCTTCTAGGAGCTACCTGAGCCTGCCTGAGATTGGGAGGAGGTGATTCCTGCCTCGTGCTGCGCTGCTTGTTTGCACTTCTCCCAAGATGGGCTTGGGCACTTTGGGGATGTCTGTGGGGCCAAGAGGACCCACAGGGCCAGGTACGCCACCAGAGCCCTTGTCCCATGCTTTTCGTCCTTCCACAGACCTGCGCCTTCTTGCCATTGGTTTCCCCCTGTGCAGTTTCTTCACGAACATTCCAGTTGGAATTTGTTTCGATAAGCTGATTCCACCGCTCAGAGACAAGCCCACGGGGAGCTGAGCAGAGGGGTTGGGGTGGGGCTGCAAGATGACCGTGCTCCTGGCACCTGCAGGTTTGTGGCGGGGAACCGCCTGAGGTCTAGACACCTAGGGCTGCGGTGTGGTGCTCACACTTCCGGGCAGGACCTTGCGGCTGCACCCGCTCACTCTGCTTCCCTGGAAACACCGTCATTGCGTAATCATGTAAAAATTCCAGCAGAAAAATGTATAGAAACGGGATGTACAAACTTGTTAAGGTAATTAATATAGTTGACAGAAGGACAAATCGAGTTTTTGTTAGTTGATACAGATCCAACGCAAAGCGTTCTGTTAAAAGAGAGTCGACATTAATTTGAAATGTCCTTTTTTTTCTCTTCAAACCTGAAGGTCCAGGTTGTAGTTTATTAATCTGAGTGTGGCAGAGGGACCTGACACGGTATTTCTTACTGAAACATTCAGATGTATTCTTTTTTAATCTTTTTTTTTTTAAAGATTTTATTTATTAGAGAGAGAGGGAGAGAACACCCAACAGGGGGAGGGGCAGAAGCAGAGGGAGAAGCAGACCCCTTGCTGAGCAGGGAGCCTGATGTGGGGCTCAATCCCAGGATCCTGGGATCATGACCTGAGCTGAAGGCAGATACTTAACCGACTAAGCCACCCATGTGTTCTGTATCCTTTTTTTTTTTTTTTAGATTTAAAAAAAAACTTTATTTGAGAGAGCATGCAAGTGGTGGGGAAGGGCAGAGGGAAAAGAGAAAGTAGATTCACTGCCCAGCGCCACACCAAGGGGATCCACCTCTGCACTCTAGAATGAAGACCTGAGCGGGAAGGCAGATAGACTGAGCCACGCAAGCACTCCAGATTCTTGTTTGGCTCTTGCATTGAATTAGGTTGATTATCACATTAAAGCTCAGGAATACTGATCACAGCAGCCCTGAGAACAGGCTTTCAGACCCTGGGCCTAGGGTCCCCTCTAGTGAGCTGGGAGCTCCCTACAGTACTGATCCCAGCAAGTGCTGTAGGCGGGGCCTGCCTGCTGGGGTCTCACCCAGTTAGGACGCCCAGTGACAGAAGACACAAAGCAAGTCCTTCTGGCAACTTTAGGTCCTCGCCCCAGGGAGATCAGTCTGTCCCCAAAGGCCTGAGGCCATGACTGCTGTTCTACCTGTTGCGCCTGTAGCTGGGCTTCGCAGGGGCCTTGCTTGCAGCATGGATGGGGAGCAGCAGCCATCAGGGCTAGAGCTCAGTGCTTGGTCACCCTCAGCAACAGTGAGGCGAGCCCCTGCAGGTCGGTCTGGCTCCTATTCTGATAGGTGGGTGACTGGCATGCAGCCCGTGAACGAGCCGAGACGCTCAGAACCCAGAGACCACGGGCATGCTACAAACTTGGGCTGCAGAGACAGACCAGAACCAATGTGTTGGCACTGAGAGGAGCAGCGCCCTGGGGCGGCGGGGTGGAGGAGAGGCTGGGCAGAGGCAGGGTGGATGGGAAAGGCAGCGACAAGACAAATCACTCCCCTGAAGGGAACAGACCCAAGTGGGCCCCAGGTGAGCTCTTCAGAGCTGACCTCTTGGGTGGGACCGGGCAGGTCTGGCCTAGGGGGTTGGCATGAGTTCCTGGTCAGCAGACCGAGCACTGGGCTGTTCTCATCTGGCTCTCACCCTCCTAGCAGGGTCCAGATATGGTTGCTCATGGGGGAAGGCCCTTTCTGGAGAGGCACAGCGGCCTGAGATGAGGTACCTAAGCAGAGGGCCTAATCGCTTCTTCAAACAGTCTATACGTGTCTGGAGAAAAGCCTTATAAATATTTCATGCTGCACAAATAGTTTCCATTCAGGTAACTTGAAAGATATCAAAGTGGAGCTCTTCCCCATTACAGAACTGCAGAGAAAGCGTACCGACCCTGACGGGTTTGCATGGGAGGCCAGACGGAGGCAGGGATTACGCTCGGCTGCTCCCAGCCTTGGCCCCTCCGTGGCAGCATCAGCAGGCGGGTGCACACACAGGGTTCATGGTCATGGGGCCCTTCTCCTAACTGCTTGCTCATTCGGGCCCACTGGGTGGGGGGGTCAGCCTATAAGAGGCCCTCGGGAGGGGCATAGGCTGCCACAGGCTAAGTGAAGCTAGGAGCCTTTCTTTGTATGTATGAACACGTATTATCATCAGAAAAAAAATGTCGAGCCGTTCCTGTGGATGTGCGGGAGATATCCTCCAGGCTAGCTGCCATCTCCTTCTGATCAAAGAGCCACTCTGCATCAGGCTCCCCTTGGCTCCCTTCACTAACCAGGGCCCCAGTGACGTACATCGTACCCTAAAGCCTCAGTTTCCCCTTCTGATACACAGAGAGAGCCCTGCTTCCAGGTGTAGAGGATATAGTGTCCTCTTGTTAGACACATGATCTGGTGCCTTTTGGCTGAACCCAGTCACCTTGCTTAGCCGAGCAAAGGTTCTTCTGATGTGTACAGTGTTGGGGCCTAGAGCCCCTCGGGGTGGGTGGAAGCACCCACGCAGCTCATAACGGGAGCTCCAGCAGGTGGGGAAGGAGAGGCTCCCTGGTGCCATCAGCCCATGACCCATGAGGCCCAGGTACTTTGCTCAGTGCCAGCCTTGCCGCCAACAGGGGACTGACTGTTCTGGGAGTTGCAGGTGACCCAGGAAGCAGCCTCGCTGAGCAGCTCCAACCCCTCTGCCGCCAGGACCCCATTCTTACCACTGCATGCAGAGGCCAGGCCCACAGTTCCTGGAGGCTCAGCTGAGCTCCTGGCTCTTGGAAAATTCACTGGGGAGGGGGTGTGCTCAGTTATTTCTGACATTTGAGTGACGCTGACCCCAGGCAGCTCAGCAGGAAATGCAGAGACGAGTGAAGAGCAAAAGGCATTGGCAGGCGTGTGCTTTGCCCCAGAAGCAACCTGGGTCCCTGTCCTGGAGACTGGGCACCAAGCACTGGGCTGCCACTTTCAGTGCTGGGGTGACACAGCGTCCTGAGGCGCTCCCCTGGAGTGGTTGCCGAGGTGAGATAAACGAGGCGTCTGTCCCGGGTGCAGAGCCCTCTGACCCGCGTCCTCATTCATCACAATAGCTCAGGGCCGGCAGAGCTCGGCTCACACCAGTCAGCGCCCTGGCGACTCACCAGGCCTGGGGGGGTGGGGGGCTTCCGCGGCGACATTGACAAAGCACAGAAAGTTCATTTTTCATTGAGATGGAGTTCGCGATTTCCTTTGGCTGGCAGTTCTAGACAGGTGACCGGCCCCACGAAGGGGTGGCCGCAAGTCTCAGCCTGCAGAAAGGAGGCAGGAGGAAGCTGCAGCGCCCGTCCCGGCTGGCAAGCAGCAGTAGCCTGGCAGCGTGAGGTGGGGGCCGTGCTGGGCGACCTTGGGCTCGGCGCCCTCCAGTCTCGGTCTTCAGAGTGCGCCAATGCTGGCCCGTGCCAGCCTGGTGCCGCTGGTGTTTGCTCTCAAGGGGACACATGGAGCCTCCAAACTGTTACTGCCATGTGGGGAACACGGGGAATCGGTACCTGGCTGGGCCACCTCCAAGGCCCAGCGGGGGAGGCCGCCCCTCTCCAGAGCCCCTTTTCCCCCAGAATGTACCGGAGCCTTCTTCGGGAGCTGACTGCTGTGCTGTCCCCGCAGGCCGACTCCAGTCCCCGCCCACTCCTCCTGGCCGGCTATGAGGACGGATCGGTGGCCCTGTGGGACGTCTCTGAGCGGAAGGTGTGCAGCCGCGTCGCCTGCCACACGGAGCCCGTCATGGGCTTTGACTTTGACTCCCAGAAGGCCAGGGGCGTCTCGGGCTCCGCGGAGAAGGCGCTGGCTGTCTGGAGCCTGGATGAGCAGCAGGCCCTGCAGGTCAGTACGCCAGACCTGAGGTGTCATTTATCCTGCTTTGCACTAACAGTCTGATAGGCTGAAACAATATTTAGGCATGAAGAGGAGTTGTTGCAGATCCCTGGCTAATTAATCACTGCGAGGCGGGGTGCAGGCCAGCCTGTCCGCGGGGCCGGCGCAGGAAGAAGGGGGCGTGGGCGCTTGTGAACCGTTCACATGGTTTGGGTTTCTCTCAGACCTCGGGTTAACAGCAGTCACGTCTTGTCCATCTAGAGAAAAGGCATGTAGAGTCCAGGGGTAGGCAAGTCCATTTGCAAAGACTCAGAGGAATTCGGTAGGTAAGGAACTGATTAATCAACCCAAACCAACCCAGTGTGGAGAAACCCACGGAGTCACGCCCCCCAGGGCAGTCTGCAGGCCAACCCCAGGGAAGCTGTTCCTCTGTGCCTGCCACGACAGGGAAGGGGGTGTGAGGCCTCAGGCCAGAGCGGGGTGTTGCTGAAAACCTTCCCATGAAGTCTCAGTGGACTTTCCCTTCCCACATGGCTTGTGGAGCACTTGGAGGCCAGGTCTGGGCCTGTGGCTGGTACTTGGCCTGCAGTGGCCCAGCCTGCACCCTTAGCCCTGTTTGGGACCTTGGGGGTAGAGTTGGGGGTCGGGGAGCATCCTGTCCAGGCCTCACACGAGGGCAGGTCCCAGGGGGGTTGCAGGTCACGGGATGAGAGGTTTGATGTCTCTTGACCCCCAGAGGGTGGCCTGGTGCACTCTGGCGTCTTGGGGTGGCTGAGGAGTCTCTATTAGCCAGGAATCCTTGGAAGGAGGAGACTTGGCCATTTGACTAGCTCGTGGAAGCTGCGTGGAAGGGCAGCACTCTAAACCCAGGTCTGGTTGGGGAATAGGGCCCCAGTTGGGAAATGCGTGGCCCTTGGGGAGATTGCCAGCAGAAGCAGCGGCAGGCTCGGCACCTGGCCTCACCTGGGCGCTCATCACTGGAGTGCTGGAGGACAGGACTGCCCCTCTGTGTAGGAGCTGTGGGGGAGAAGAAGGCATCTCCCCTCACCAGGTGGTAAAGCCTTTCCTGCTAGCCTGGCAAGCCTGCTGTACCTCACACTCGCCTGGCCTGGACCCTCACAGCCAGAGGAAAAAGATCTGGGCAGGCCAAGCCCCTGAGGCATGACGTGGGTTGGAGAGGGGCGGGGCGGGCCCCCAGGGAAACTAAGGGCATGCTGCAGTGCCTAGCAGGTGTCACGCATCCTAGGTGCTACCCTGGGCAGGGGAGGGGGGTTGTGGCATTGCCACCAGGTCATCCCGAAAGAGGGACGGAGCCAGGACAGCTGGGGCAGGGGCCTTACGTGGTAGGTGAGGAGTCCTGGGGAAGACAGAGGCTGAGAAGGAACAAGGCAGCGAGGTGCTAGAGGGAATGGTGACGGACAAAGAGGCCCAGAGATGGACACAGCTCAGGCAGAGAGAGACCTGAGAAGGGCGCTTTCATGTTGAAGCTGGAATTGGGACTGGCATCCTAGAAAATGATCCAGAGCAAGTGGCCAGCAGTGGCAGGGAGGAGCTGCCCACTGTCCTAGTGTGAGGCTGCCTGGTGTCTCTCCGGGTGGGATCAGAACAGGAACCTGAGGGTGGGAGCGGCTGGCCAGAGCCCAGCAAGAGAGGGGAAAGCGGGTCAGTGTGATATTAAGGGACGGGTACACGTTTATACTTCCTCAGCACTGCTCTTCCCCAGCAGATCAGCTTGTGGCAGTACCTGGCCAACTTAGAGTAAAGGCAACTGGCTGTCTGTCTTTCTGTCCTTCTTTTGTCTTAGAGAGCCCATGGAGGCCCTGGGGGAAGGGGGGTTAGACAGGCCTCCAAATGGGGCCAGGCCTGGCTGTGGTGGGGCAGAGCTTCTCATGCCTCTGTCCCAGCAGAAAGGCCCCAAGCCCTTGGAATGGTGGACCTGAGCAGGAATGGGAGTGAATGTCGTCGTGATGGGTGTCATCTTTAAGACTGGGGCAGAGCCAGGCTGGTGCTGGGTCTTCCTGTCCTCAGCAGAGGAGGGCATCTCACTGGGTGTTGAGCCCAGCCAGGTAGGCCTTGGAGTTCTCTCTTACACCCCTCCTTCCTGTTCCTTGAGCCTGGTGGGGACAAGCCTGGGTCTCCACCTTCCCACTGTGGGGTCCAGGGCTCCATCCCACTGTGGCTTGAATTTCATCAGCCTGACCTTGCAAAAGGCTGAAGACTCAGGGTGCTTCCCTGAGAACCCCACGCCAGACTGCAGTACTCCCAGGACCCCGGGAAGGGTCCCCTCCTGCCGACCTGGCCCAGATCTGCCTGGTCTCCGCCGGCTTGCTGGGGAAACAGCTGCTGGAACTTAAGACTTAAATTTATGGGGCACGTTCCAGTCCAGAGATGAACTTTTACTGTACTGATGAACTGAAAAGTTAAAGCACAGAGGATTATTAATGAATTTGAAAGTTAAAGCAGAAGGGGAACCAGGCACCGCGGGGTGGACGTGGTGGTTACGTGACGGTGTTACTCAGGGCTCTGGGCCCCACTCAGCAGCACACATCAAAGCAGGAGGACAGTGCCCCTCCCGCCGAGCACAGCCACTGAGAACGGCTGCATGTCAGGTTCCGAGTTGGCCCCAGAGGCCCTGGAGGTTTTCAGGTTGTGACACAAGGCCCCTGAGGAGGAAGTATCAGGGGCCGGTGCCCACAGGCATCCACGGGCATCCTTGCCCCGAGGTCCTTGGTGCACCGTGCTGGCTCTCTGCTGCAGCTGCCTTCCCTGGCCCTTGAGCCACATGGGCACAGATGGGCCTCACCTCACAACCCGCTGCTGGAGTCTCTAATGAGCCCAAATCAATCTCTCCCGGGCGGGCGATGGGAGCGGAGACGCAGATGAGGTTTCCCGCAGCAGAGCGTGGGTAATGAGAACCAGATGGCGGCCGCGCCGCGTGCACATTCCTGGCACCTGAGGTCATGTGCTGTGAGAGCCACTAGTGGCCAGGGATCCCTCCGGGTGGGTGCGGCCAGGGACCGTGGCAGTGACTGGGAGCCTTGGGCCACCCTCCTCAGGACACTGTGGTCTCGGGGGCACGTGGCAATGCTGGGCCACTCACTTGCCTTCCAGAGGTGGCTTTTCCTCCAGCCTCCAGGGGATCGGGCCTTGGCTGTCGTCAGACACAGGTGGTGTGCAGACCTGCTCCTTCCTCCCACACTTGGGCAGGGCGCATGGCCTTGAAGCAGGGGCTGATTTACGGCCAGCAGTATTTTTAGGCCTTTAAGTAATATTGAACCACTCCCCGCCCCCCACCCGGGCAGCCTGGACTGGGAATCGGACCAACCACACTTCCCTGAGGTGCACCCACGGCTGGTTGGCCAGGTGTCCCCTTGTCCTGCTGTGCATCTGCTGCCCTTTCTCCCAGTCCCCACCCTCTAAATTGTCAGCGGCAGGACCTGTGGACCTGAGACCAAGCAAATTGTGGACACAACTCAACCACCCATAGGCATCTCAGGAACACAGCAGAATAAGCAAGGCTCTGGCAGCCGTGACCATGAATGGACCCTGTTGGACCCTCCTCGGGAGTCTCCTCCTCGGGAATACAAGCGCAGGATAGGGACTGGCCTCTTGTGGTTGAGGTCGCCATCAAAGCTTCTGCTGCTGCTTCTTTTCTTTCCTGCCAGGGGAGCCTACTTTCTGCCTTTGCTTCGGCACCAGAGTCACTCTTGCCCCCGTGGGCAGCGCTGGGCATCTTCGCTCCTCCCAGGTAGTAACATGGCGTGGAAGGTGTTCTGTGCCCTAGACCCAGCTTCCAGTGTGTGAGAACCATGGCTCCGGGGCGTCTATGGAAATTCAAATTCCTCTTCCACTTGCCTTTGGTTCTTGATGATCGTCAGCAAGAGCAGACTTGAAAGCAGCCCTTTTCTCCCTGGAAAATACTCCCCGATGGAATATGAAGGAGGTGACCCTGAAGCAGGACCCCACATGGGTTCCAGGGAGTCCATGGCTCCGAGCCCAGGTGTACCCTGGCTACCCCTGGCTTAGGGCAAAGTCCACAGAAGAGAAAAGGATGAGGGATGGTGATGGTCATCAGTTCTCATTTCCAGCCCCGTGTTCTGGTCCGTGTGAGTGGAGAGGGGTTCAGGTACACATAGGATTTGCCTTCTCACCCATGCACAGTGGCCTTGGCTCTCACGGTCCTTCTCCAGCATGTGCCACTTGGTGGCCTGGACATCGTGGTGCCCCAGTTGGTGGGCCAGGTACTGGCCAGAGCCCTGGAAGAGTAGGAGGGGGAGTCCCTGACCATGAGATGTGGGGCAGGCGTGGAGGGGACTGGACGGGTCTCTGGGGGGCTGCCTGAGTGCTGATAGCACTGGCCAGGAGCCCAGGCCGTGCCACGAGGAGGCCGGGGCTGTAGTGAGCCACCCACATGCTACAGCTTGGACGTCATGCAAGTTTCCTATCAGGTTTTGCAGGGGTCTCATTGTAGAAGATCCTCCTTCTGCTCCTAGTGGAGAAAGAATCTAGATTGTGAATAGGCATTGAGATGTCAGACTTGGGGCTTTTCTTCTCAAATTAGTTAACTTAAATGAATTGCGTTATTTTATGATTTCAAAATAACCACATAGTCTTAAAATAACCCATTAGAGAGCCTGTCGATTTCCGTGTGGTTGGGGCTCTGTCGGCCTCTCAGTAAACTAAGCTGCACCCCCTCCCCTGTTACCCGTCTCTGCTTATGGTGTTGGGGTATGGGGAGTCCCAGAATCAAGGCAGGCATCCCCTCCTCTCCTGACCTCTGGATAAGGTGGTAGGGGGTCTGTTTTATGAGTGGCCATAGGTCGCTGTTTTCTACTGAGACGGGTGTTTTCTCTGCAAGGAAGGCTTGATTTTCTTCTTGGACTGATTTAGGTTTCTGGATTTGGGGGTGGGGGGAGTGGTAAGTTGCCTTTTTCTAAGAATTTGTCTCTGGGCATAAAAACCTTTAAGATATTTTTTTTAAATATTTTATTTATTTATTTGACAGACAG